GTGTGTGTGTGTGTGTGTGTGCGTGCGTGCGTGCGTGCGTGCGTGCGTGCGTGCGTGTGTCTTGTCAGGTGGTGAACAGGTGGAACTGTTTGAATGGTCTGGAGCCAGCAGTCTGGACCAGTGAGGGACTGAGGCCTTCAGCACCTACAGATGACACCATCCTGCTGCAGATGGAGGTTTGAAATAGTTGTTGGAGATTTGTGAATCTGCACCATCGTAAGTCACTTTTTGCAATAGTATAAACAAGAGAGTTTTATATTGTGTGCTTTGACTTTAGTTTTATGTTTTGTTTTTCCTCCTCTGTATGGAGAGAAAGAGAGGAGAGTTCTTTTGATAAATGGAGACTAGTTCCCGTGCTCCAAAGTTATTTAAGTCTGTGGTTCTCAGTGTGCAGGTTTCCAGCCCTCACAGCTCGCATGTTACAGGGAGTACTAATTGAAGGAGGTGAAAAAATTGATCCTTTTTGTTCGAGCATCACTTTTCTGTTTCTGTGTCAGGAGTTAAGTAAGGATTTTATCTTTTTTTTGTAGGTAAATATATGGTTAAGTAGATAGTTTTGTTTGACAATACTTTAAATTAAATAAAACTAGCCACACATTATGTTCTGTTTTATTTACTTTAAAGAAGTGAGGAGTAGGGAGATGAAAATTATGTTTTTTGATACTGAGACTGGACGAGTAGATCACGGCAAACTGCCGACTTCAAAAGTAGATCATGGTTCAAAAAAGGTTGAGCACCCCTGTTTTAAGGCTAATCAATGCCTTATTTTTGGACTGATGAATTCAAGGCCTTTTAAGACTTTTTAAGGATCTGCAGGAACCCTGGGATGATGAAGCTTGACAAAAGCGGGCTTACAACGAACGCAGATGTGATGACGGTGTGATTTTTGATTTGATGGAGGGGTGAGGGGAACAGCTACACAGTCGAGGGTTTTTTCAGCCTTACCTCTGATGGCACCATTGCAGATAGGAGGGGGGAAGGCCATCACTTTGTTGTGGGAGGAGTAAAGCAAAATGCAAAGTGATTTGTTCAAATTACTAGTATTTCCTACAGCATATACGGCGATATCGTCAGAAGTGAAAAAAGGTTTATAGGTTTTTATGGTTAAAAACAGGATGTGGGTTCTACGCTAACATCTGTGGCCGTGCAGAAGGAAAAAAAAAGGAGCTCACCTGTGGTTACAGTCCTGCTCACATTTTCCACTGCAAGAAAGAGAAATTCAATCAGCTACAGCACCTTACTGCGCATCTGCTTCATTATTTTTAGCTCACGGTGCTTGGGCTTGCTGCGATCGGGTGAATACCCACATGATTTCCTGTTCTCCTCCGTCTCTCTGTACAGCCTGCTGACTCGCTCCACCAGCTCCCACTTCTCACAGCAGCCCGAGTAGTTGACGAAGTTCCTGGCCAGGATTTCCTTCAGCTGCCGCACGGACAGGCCTTCTATGTCCCTCAGACTGGAGATGTCGGAGAGGGAGCCTCTGGCCCGACGGCGCATTTGAGGACTTGCCTAAAAACAGAACAGATTTAAATTCTGCTTCCTTTTTTCCCCTGCACAAATGTATCCATTTATTTTTCTTATTTTTTTCAATTATTATTATTTTTTTCTCTTTCTTTTATAATATTGTGTGGGCTGGGTCAGGGACTACAGATGGAAACTAGCACCCAGAGCTATAACCTGATACAGTGCATCTTTCCTTCTATGGCTAATGCATACTGTATATTGTCCCTGTAATAATAAAAAAAATCTTTTATCAGAGTTTCAAAGCCTTTTTGTGCTGAAACAAGCATTAGCATCTAACGGTAGTGATGTAACATTACTTGTACTCAACTTGACCACAAATATTTATGAAAAATGTTGCCAATGAGAACTTCTATCCAGTGAAATTTGTTTAAATTAAAAAAAAAAAACTGAAATGAAACGTTAAGAAAACACAAAACACCTCTGGAGTTCGCTCGCTGGAGTCCAAGTTGAGGAGAGACTGTGATGTGACGAGGCCTAAATCCTGCAGGAAAAACACACAAGGGTGAGTAAAGAACGTGCTGCAGATTAGGATTACACACGACTTAACGTGTGTGTTGATTTGCTGGGAACAATGCTTTGTACTTTCCAGTCACTGGAAAGCTTACTATTCATTACACAGACCAAGAACTGGTATTTATAGCAGGATCTGGCAGCTTTTTAACACCGACGGAAGCTGCTTTTGTTCAGGTTTACTTTTTGCCTCCTGTGATTTTCTGCAGATTTACAAACGTAGCAAAAGCAGGATGAAAGGATGGACGAACACTTGTAGTTTTCCTTGTAGGTTATTTGGAGAACAGCAGTCTAAACAAGGCAAACCTTGTAATGCTATGGGTTTTGTCTACCAGTAAACTAATCTTGCTGATAAAAGCGTTTCCTTGTTTCAGACTCCCTCCTCACCTGGTTGTTGTCGGAGCTGTCGCTCCTGCTGAGCGATTCCTCCTCAGGAGGAGGAGAGGTGTCGTAAGCAGACAGCTCGGTGGCCGACTGAGCGGTGGAAGGAGTTGGTGTGAACATGGAGCGCGAGAAGAGGCTGGTCGTGTCAGGATCGCACTCCTCCTCTTCTTCTTCCTCCTCTTCCTCCTCGATGCCCCGGTGGCGGAGCACCAGCTCTACCAGGTCCTCCTTCTCCCTGCAGGTTTCGGTGTTGACGCTGTGCAGCAACAAGTACTGACGCAGGTCCTTCACTCGCAGGCGCATGAGCCGCGGGCGCTGAAAGGCCGTGGCCTTCAGCAAGTGGCAGGTGGCACATGTGCGCAGGTTCTCCTGAAGCACGCTGCACATCGAGCAGAAGCTCTTCTTGCAGTCGGAGCAAACGTACTACAAAACAAGAAAAAAACAAGAGAAATGGAGTCGTCAGCTCTTTGTGCAAACATAATGTTATGAAATATTACATACATCGTTTTGTTTTTCTTTTTACAGCAGGCAGGAAGTGAATATAAGGAAGAAAAAACACATTTTTACACCCCTAAATGTTGACTGATTGCAGAAGACCTTTTTCTGCAGGTTTCAATCACTCACAGCTGTTGTTCATCTCCAGACTCAGACAGGACAGGAGGTATTTCTTTTAAATGACAAACACCAAACAGTAAAAAACACGCGAGGAGGTGGATTTGATTGGCACGACAAACGAGTGAAGCAGTGAAGAATGACAGCCTGTCAGCGTACATGAACATATTACAGCCAGTATGCCATCTGTCAACTGACCTGAGCTCATTTTACAGTAAAAAAGTGATTTTTTTGTGGAACACAATCCATATACTGTATGTGCCCCATTTTACTATATGAGCATTTTATTACTTAAAAAACAAATAATCTGGCATTTCTGCTCATACAGACTTGTTACTTGAAATGTTGTAAAAATAAAGCTCTGTTAAAAATGTTGTAGAATCTGCTGCTTCATGTAAAAAAGCCAAACTCAGCAGTTGCTTCCTCTGAAAAACTTAAAAAGACTGTTTGATAGAAAACATAATATAAGAGTAAAATTTAAAGGCTCATATATACACACAAATACCCTTTTCACACTGTGTAAACAACACTTGTGACACACAGAGATAAGACTAGAATAGGGAAGCAGCATGTAGTAGTAATACAGGAACAATCAGTATTACATGGATTATCAATTTAGCCAAAAAATTAATGAGATTCAAATGAAGACATAAAGCTGAGTCAGTCAGTGTATTCATTTCCAAATCTGAAAACAATTAGTCAGCATCCAGCTGTGTTTGTGTCTGGTTCAGTGCAACTAAAGCACACAGAAAACAGCTTTATGCAACTTTTTTCAATAAATGTTATTTTTTAATGCAACCACACCCTATAAAGCCAATTACTTGCAAAATGAAGACGTTTATATGACAGAAGATTTGGCTACGTGCAGAAACACTTTGACAGCTTGTGGCAGGAATTATGCTGAGCGGGGAGCCTTCTGGGATGGGTGCAGGAGGAGCTGCTCCCATCTTAAATCCATTAAAACCATGGAGATGGTGTTGGGTTTTCAAGAGATCCTGGTCACCCCATTTTCTAGTCCCTCTACAGGGACAGGACATTGAGGTGGGGATTATTTTGGATAACAAGTTAGACCCTGAACACTGATGCTACAAGTTGTGGTAGAGCTGCATCTTCTTCGTGCAAAGCCTAAGGTCCTTTGGTGTCTGTGTTGAGACGGTACAACGGTACAATTTTATCACACTCTGGTAGCCATTTTCTGTTTTTATGCTGCTGTGCAACCTGACATGTGAAAAAAAAGCAAGACATTGGACAGGCTGTCAAAAAAATAAAAGTAATAATCTAGCTTGGATTGACAGGAGGCTTGATTTGCTCAGAACTGTGGAGGAAAGGGGCACACTGAATAGACTAGAAGTTAGATGTAATGGACGTTAACAGAGATCCTCACCAGAGAATCCTGACTTGGCAGAGCAGCAGCAGTGGAAGAAGACTCCTCTTACTGCAGAACTGAGGGGTTCAGGAGGTCCTCTGACCACACTGCTATCAGAGTTTTAATTGCTTTTTGAACATCTTTATCTTTTTATGGTTATGATTTTGGATAAAATGAACTGCTTGACACTTGAATGTCCTTTCTTAAACACTTAAAAATCATAGGTGTGTCTGAGTTTTTCCAGACATCCAGCCTATTTAAGGGAAAACAAATATCACTAGGAAGTTTGATACTGTTGTGTGCGACACACTAAACGTGGCGCAGAGAAAGGCGAGAGCTGTCTGAGAAGCTCAGAAAGAAGACTACGGCTCCACGCAGCTTCATGTTCATCTGATCACAGCTATTAGAGGGTTCATGGGTCTGCAGCGGACATCCCAGGATGTGGATGCAAGAGGAAATGCAACCCCGTGTTGATCAGAAGGATAGTGCAGATGGTAGGAGACAACGTCATCCAAAAAGTTGAACTCCAAGGTTACATTTTAAATGCACCATCCATCACATTTAGAGTCATAATGAAGTCTATGGAAGAGGATGCAGGACTTCATCTGAATTCATCTGAGACTGATGAGACCAAACTGGAGCGTTATGATGAGTCACATCAGTCCTGTGTTGTTTATATGTTTATGTGCATATATTTACCTGATAATGGAAAAGGTAACAACAAATTTGCATATAACCTAGACACCTACCTTCCTCCTGAAGACTGAGAAGGCCTGGCCGCAGGTCATACACACCGGGTTGGGACTCCCTGAGCTGGAGGGCGGGTACGTGGAGTATCCCGCGCTAGGGGCAAATCTGAAGGGTCCAGCCCCGGCTCCGAACCCCGGCTGCTGGCCTCTGACGGCCCCAGTACCCATGACTTCATTCAGCAGACCACAACATGAAGCCCACACGGATGAGGCCCCTGCCTGACATTACAGAAGAGTGTTTTCACTTCAAGAACGTCTTCACAATAATCTGCATCACGATCCTACACATTATACCACTGAGTACACGGCTGCACCTGCATCATACACGTTTAGCCACAAAAACAATTATTGTGCAGTGATAAACGCATACAGTAATTAAAGCATGAAGTTAGAGCACATAATCACCTTTACCAGAAGCGGATAAACTAAAACGGACTAAATTATCAATAAAACACTGATATCCAACAAGGCAAAACAAGCTGGAAATAACAGCATGAGTGGTGTCCGTCAGATAGCTGGGCTGGCACCGGTGCAGCTTGTTAGCTTAGCTACCATTAGCTGGATGATGCTAGCGACAGCCTTCAAGATTTACATAAATTCGTGGTTTTAAAAAATGTTCACCTTCATTGCAGCTCCGGTGTGGCTACTGGCAACGAGAGGGCGGGCGGTATAATCATGGCCAAATTTCGCGTTGATGATTTATACAACCCAGCCGTGTGTGCGTCTTGTTGTGTGGAGACCAACAATGGTGCTTCAAGTTACCACAGCTGCAGCTGCTCGGGAGCGCTGCAACAAGCAGGGGGAGCACTACCGCCCCCTGCCGGTACAAACTCTCCACACAGGCTCGCTACTACACAGAGACGACTTAATGTCTGTTCATTTAAAAGGTTACAAAATCAAGTTACACGTAATAATTTATTAACTACAGGTAAATAAACAGGTCATTAAATTAGAGGTAAGAATAGTGAACTGTTTATTTTGAGGGTATCAAAACCTGTAAACATACAAAAATACAACCAAGGGGGCTGAGACCTAAAAATAAGTGTTTCATCTTTTGGCATGCATTGCGAATTAATATTTTGTGCGTGTTAATTATGTATTTGTTTTTACTTTGTATTCAAATAGCATGTAATTTTTTTTCTTACCTGCCACAGGGACTACAGATGAAAATTAGCTGATGGCTATAATTGTATATGGTATTAATTTGAGTTTGACAAATAAACAAACAACTAAACTAATCATTGAATGTACATCTACAGCTGATTAACTTTTGGAAACAAATTGATCCAAAAAAGGCTGCCACGACTAGCTGACCCTATAAAACACAAAAATGGCCACAACTCAATCAATTTTACAGATATGCAGCAAATGTTTGGAGTGGCGATGGCTGAAAATCCTCCCTAATAAATATGCTGTTCAAGATTTGTGTGTAAAAAGTTTTTAATTGTTGGCATCCACCCTTTCAGTCAGCAAAATATCTAATGAACTAGTTGTCAGATATTAATGACACTCTAAGACAGTAATTACTGTGCAACTACAGCTGATTAAATTTTGAAGACAAACTGATTCAAGACGTTAGTGAACACAAAATGGCTGTTTTACAGATTTAGAGCTAAATTTTGATCCAGCTGAATGTAATCCTCAACCCATACACTAATCATTAAAAAATATTGCATATTTGATATTTTATTAGAGCATTGCATTGGATTATATGAATTATTTCAAGGAAGGCTAATTTCAACTACTAATATGAATAAAGTGTTACAGTGAAGACTCTGGCCCCAAACTCAAACTCAGCTGGCAGGTATGTGTGTGTGTGTGTGTGTGTGTGTGTGTGTGTGTGTGTGTGTGTGTGTGTGTGTGTGTGTGTGTGTGTGTGTGTGTGTGTGTGTGTGTGTGTGTGTGTGTGTGTGTGTGTGTATTAATAAATGAAATATATAACTTTATTTTTTATTTTTAATGTATATATTTTTAATCTTAGAATTTATTTTTATTTTTTAACTAATGCAATGAGTGATACGTAATTAGAAACCTGAGCCTGGAATGAGATGAAACTACACTAAAGAGGAATAAAATAAAATAAAAATGTTAAGACTGTGACAAGAACTACTATATTTGGTTTTACTCTATTTATATTCTTTAGTATTATTGATGCAGGCTCTAATAGGCTTGTGTTCTTGTCAGAGTAGTTTTTACTAATAAAGTTTGGAAGGATTTGAACTTCCGGTCTGGTGACTCCGCCCCACAAAGCGCGCTAAAGCAAACAGTCAAATCTTTGTTGTCACCGACTTTTCAGCTAAAACTTGGGCCCTACAATGGAAACATGTGACAGCTTCAGTTTAATGGTAATGTACGAGGACGAGTCGGTGGAAGTTCGTTACAGAAACGGAACTCAGGTCCAGCTGGCACCGTGTGGCTGTGAGTTTATGCTGGTGAAAGCCCCGGACCTTCACGGACATCATCCACTGCAGCCCACTGAGCACGTCCGTCAGAGAACCAGGTTCACTATCAGCAAATACAAAGTAAAAAGTTCCGGTTTTAGTCACAATTTATCAGTCAGTTGGCTGTAGTTTGTTCTTGTGTTATTCAGTGTCCTGTTTTGTATTTTATTTATTTTACAGGAAATGATGGTTGCCGCTTTGGCTTTCAGGAATAAGTATGCCAGCCGACCGTATCTGCCAGAAGAACTCATCCCTGCTGACCACAAGAAGGTATTACTACAAACCCCTCAGATTATATGTAAATTATGAGATTCCTATCTAAGCGTTCTAATTTTCCCTCTTGTAGCCATTTTTCAGCATTGAATCAGATGTTACATGGCCTGAGTTTTCATCCGTCGAGACTGAGCTCGGACCTGGAGGCAGCATCACTGTCAGGTCAGAGGAGGGACGAGCCTGGTTGGAGCTGTCGCCCTCAGGTGAAGACTTCTCCGTGGACTTCGCATGCGGCTTTAGTCAGCCACCAAATCACCGTCAGGACATTCAGAGTTCACACAAGGGTGCTGACTGCAGCTCGGAGAGTCGGCAACAAGCGAGCAGTCTGATCTGTGACAACGTGGATGATCAGAGTAAACCTGTTCATCAGAGGAGAGGGAGGAGATCAGAGCCAACACAAACAAAGTCTTGTTCTCAAACGAACAGCACTGCTCAGCTAAAGGTAATATTAAATATTTGTGTTACACCTCAGGTTCGACTGGATAATTAATGTTTCTTCTCAGCCTGAACAGAGGTACCAGTCCACTACAGTGGTGCAGCATCACTCCTGCTGTGCAGTTCCCCCCTCATGGAGCTACCCTCTGTCCTTGGCTCGACATCAGTGGGCATCTCATTTCTCTGAATGTAAAGAAGCAGAAGGAAGCAGCGGTTCTAACCATTCAGATAATAAAGTGAGCGTATCTAACTCATCACATGAGGGAAGAAGGGTTCACCTTCCTCCAGCTTTGCCTCTTACGTGTTCCTCACCTCACTGGCATAGGTTTGTGCGTTAACAATAAACAAGTCAGGCACTACTATAATCATTTCCTAAAACAAATTCTACTTGTGCTTTTCAGGTGGAAGTTTAAAGACCCTCTGGTCAAAGAAGAGGAATCAGACCTTCCAACAGGGCTTGTAAAAATTGTATGGTGTCAAGCAGTCACATACAGGTGGGAATGAAACTTATTAGAGAAACCAGTGGTCTTATAAAGGGTTTAATGGTTACTGATTGGACCCAGATCAGCTTTCCACAAAGTTTGTTTACATCACAGGCTATCAGCTTTTGCTTCTGCTTTCAACTGGATGTTATAACTGCCTTAATCACAGTTAAAAGTATTAAAAATGACAATTTTAAGGCTTATTTGTTGCTTTGTTTTGTTTAAGTTAAACATGCAGGTTTTGTTTAAAGGTGTATTGGGCTCTAATGTAAAACAACTCTTATTATGATTTATTTATTTTCAATTTACTTGCAGTTTTAGACACCTTATACTTGTTTGAAGTACAAATTCACAAAACCGCTAGTCCTTAATGAATACATTTAATCCATCTCACAGAAAGTCCTTGCCTATAAACTTCCTATCTTTTACAAAGCAATGTGGGTTTAGTGCTTCTTTAGCTGCTCTTTATACTGTTGTGTTGGATGGTTCATTGAATGCTGTTGTGATCATATCTGACCAAAACACATATTAGCTGTCCAATATTTAAATACCATTGAAAACAACAGATTTTCTTGAATGCATCAAACAGTAGAAACTGTCAAGTATGGTGGTGGAGGGTGGGTGATTTGGGCTTGTTTTTCAGCTGTAGAACTTGTTTTCCTCGCAGTCTTTGAGTCAACAATGAGCACAAATGAATTTAGAAGTATTTTAGTCAAATGATGGCTAAATTTAGGCAAAATGGAGCCATAATTTAAAGGTTGCAAGAACAGCCAGAAATCTGCAACAGATAAAATAAAAGATGCAAGAAGTTATAGTAGTCCTGATCTCAACAAAAGCTTGTTAACCTCTGAGGTGTTTCAATATATAGAAAAGTGGAACAAACTCCTGCCAACAATGTAAACTCATCAGGTTGTACAGAAGGTGGTAAAGTTTGCTGATGAAGGAGCTTCTCTTTTTTTTCTTCTTTTTTTAATTATGAAATGAAAAAAAAACATTTATTTTTCCTTGTCTAGATACAATAAACTAGAGTTTATGAGACTTTACATACACCTGACTTTATTTCTCTGTTCACTGTAGAGTACTGAGTGGAGCGGTCCCGGTCATAGAGATTTATCCAGGCGATGGGTCGGTTATCAGGTCTAACGGGGTCCTGAACTCTTATTTCACTCATCACAAACCTAGACTCCAGGCAGAAGAGGTGCATTTCAGTCTTTTATCGTGGACGGATGGATGTTTTGAAGTGCCTGTGACATCAATTTTTTATTATAAATATGAATGTATTTTTGGAAAGATAACATAATATATTGTAAAAAAAAAAGATTTCATGCCGCTGAGATGAACAGTTGTTGAGATATTTGCATGTGAAGAAACAGGAAGTGATGTCAAAGGGGAGTGTCTGACTGTAAACAGAGTGTTGCTAAAATGGCTAACACAGACTGTTGAGAGGAATCTGGGTTTTTTTTTTTTTAGAATATTTTAATCACTATCATAGAGAGATGAGTGATAGTTCATATATTGTTTCGATAAACAAAAACCAGGGAGTTTTTCTCAGAGTTCCCCTTTGATGTCACTTCCTGTTTCACTTCAGCTGAGCAAAATTCAAAAGAAAAAATGTCAGTTATGTGACATAACAGGTCAAATCATGTGCATTATGCCAAATTTCTTAAATATAAATATATTTTCTTTGACTTTTTGTATTTCATGGATATGCATATCACAGGCACTTTAATCTCTAACTTGTTTGAGTTACTCTAGTTGTTCGTGTCTGTTTCACAGGTCAAGGACTTGACGTACCATTTAAACCGTCTTCCTCCTGACGTACCTGGGCAGGTGTACTCTTTGTACTCTATTGTCAGTCGGGCAAGTAGGTAAGATGTCATTTGGTTACAGTGTGATGAGTGTATTGGGTTTTTTTTTCAGGTATTTAAACTGTATTTTTATTTTTTTCTCCTAGAATCCTTGCTTGCTACAATCAAGCCAAGCTGAAGTGTCCTGCAACACCAAGCTGCCTGCAAGAGGTCTTCACTGCTTCTGCTACTAGATTTGTTGATATTCACAGTATTAGTAGCCTGGTTTAAACCAGACCCTGTCCTTCACTTTGCTTCATACAAGGGTCTGGACTTGATGCATAGAGAATAGATTTCTTGCAGGAGGCGTGGCCTCTGCTGAAGTTTAAAATGATTTAAAATGAGTTGGCTGCGACGTATGTCGCTGTGAAGGAGGCTAAGCTAAGAAGCTAATGGGAAATCGCGTGTGCTGTAAACAACCCTACTGAGAGGAGAGAAGTACCGAGCCGAACGAGACGGCTGTAAATGAGAGCTGCTGCTTTATCAGACAAATTTAATTTAATTTGGAAGCCTTATCAACACAGACTGGCTTCATTCACTTCCTCCAATATGCTGAACTAACTAGCAGACACTGCGCCGAACATCGACGTCATTCAAAGCTCCTCCTTCTGTTCTCTGATTGGCCCAGGTAAAAAAAACTACAAGCAGACACTGTGCAGAAAATTGACGTTCTGTTCTCTGATTGGCCCGGCTAAAAATCTGCCAGHRAAATCCATCTCAATGGGAGAAGTCCCAGACGGAGCAGTGAAGGGAAACTAGAATTGAGCGTAGCTGCGTAGGAAGGCAAGGGCCAGGCTACAGTATTAATACTGTTCAAACTTTGTACTTAGTTATGATGTGATATACCATATGTGTTTGCAGGATGGACATTTTTTTAATTCAACGTTGTCTGAACAAAATCCATCAAGTGATGTGTTTATGAAGTCACATGTGGATTTACCACAAACAGCAGATAATCTGTAAGTTGTGGTTTTTTTTTTAAATTTATTTATTTATTTATTTATTTTGTTTTGTTTTAAGCACCGGTACCTCAAATAACTATTCTTTTCATCCCGTTTTCTGTTCCACTTTAGGTCAAATCTTGCTGCTGCAGAACTGGAGAAGATAAAGCGATTCAACTGTATCCTTTTGTGGTGGTGTCAAAGTGCAAATGATCCATGTTTTTACCACAAGTGTAGATCCTTTAACACTCTGTGCCCAGTTCTGCTGGAGAACAGCCACCTGCTGAGAATAGAGAGCAAACAGAGAAACTCAAAAGAAAGTTCTCCTGAGATCACCCCTGACCCAGTAAATGAGGACTATGTTGCTGAAGCTCTTCAGAGGACCTCCAAAGCCATTCAGGACATTGATGCTGTCATATCTGCAGCAACACTAACCTGAGAATTCTTAACATTAGTTTAGGAAATAAGACATGCTAGGTATTAGTTACTGGCTATCACGGCTCTGCACTGATATGTGGACAGATTTTAAATTATAGTGATTGCTGTATTTTAGATCAACATCCTACCTTTAAAGTTAAATACAAGCATAGATCCAAGCCATTCTGTGTTTATTTGTTATTTATTGTTTGGTTTGTTTATTTTTCTGTCAGTATCATGCGCGGGAACAAAATAAATTCTATTTCAAAGACAAGTAATATTTTTAAGTAACATAAAAACCCAGAACAATGGGCACCAGAGACCCCCTAAATGTGAAAGCTTTGTAACTATGTGGTTAAAAAAGGATGCAGGAACTTTGCTAATGTCACACTAATGCCAAAAGGTTTAAACATATTTGTTTGCAGTGTTCATATTTCAGGAAGAAAAAGAAATTTCAAAATTTGTGAAGTCACTGAGATGACAAATGTTCACAATTCAAGACATTTGTGGAGCAGCCTAATCAATCATCTCAACACTGAGCAGGTTAACCTGCACTCCTGTTATTTGATGGATTTTTATGTGTGGATGCCATCTACTGGTGAAACAGGGTATAGCAGCCTTTGTGTGCAGCAATCCTTTTCTTTTTCTTAAAACCTCTTTATGCTTTCCAGTCATTGCACGTTTCAAGTCAACCAACTTTGCAAATGTCAGCAAAATTCTGTCCACAGATAAAATTTAAATCGTTATATAATATGTTGACACAAAGTGCATCAAATTTATTTATTAATTTTTATTTATTTACTGTTATTTTATTATTATACATTATAATGTACGTTATTCATACCACTTTCACTTTCTTGTGTATATAACTGTTATGTTGGTTATTATTATGTCTTTAACTTATTTCCAGATATTTTCAGTATTAACACCAGTCCTATCTATGTTTGGTTCACTGTTACTTTCAGTAACACTAATAGACTGCACACTTTTTGAATATAAAGTGACAATTCAAATAAGTGATATACCTTATCTACTGTGTTGCCATTTTGGATACATTTTTTATAATAAGAGAATTCATTAGAGTAATAAAACTACAATACAGTTTCTTCTGCTTAAAACATATTTTAAATTCACTAAACCTGAGTAGTTTCATGTTTAATAAGTTATGTACATGAAATTATTACTTTGATGGGGAAGAGTATGAATTTAGTGCAGAGGTTAAATGTTAGAGAAAAGTTTTAGTTAGTAACATTTATTGCATCTTTATTCAGGCTTTTTTATTTGATGTTTTCAACAGTTTAGAATATGTAGTAAACATGATGAAATACACACTGCAATGCATCTAATGTAATAGATCTACTCTATAATTTTAAAAATGTTGATTTTGTGATTTTGAGTAGTCGTTAACTGGTAATAAGTAATTTTATTTATAAATATTTTGTATGGTATTGTGTGATAGTTTATTTTGATGTGATTTCAATAATTTTTTATGTAAATGTAGGTTTGTGCAAATAAATGTCAGGAATCAACAATAAAATTACATATATTATTAATTAATTTTCTGTTTAAACCTATTGTCAGGTTGTGCTTTTTCCAAGTCAGATTTATGTTTATATCTGAACAAGGATGGGTAGGGTCGAGCTGATCTCAGGTCTGTAAAAAGCCAGCTGCAGGTACAGCCTGTTGTCTGTATTCTCGCGAGATACCACGAAGTTTCCGGTGTTGTGTGTATGTTCCTGGAGACATGGCGGCCAGCTTCCGCGGCCGTCCTATCCGGAGTCTTCGGATGCGAGGTAAGCTCAAAAAATCTCAATTCACTGACAGCTGTAACAGCGGTGTACTGCACAGCAGATGTCCTGGGACTAATGCTGACCCAGGAGTGACGGCTCTCTGTGTGCGCTGCGTGTGTTTTTGTCAGGTCGGAATGACAGCGGGGAGGAGAACGTACCGCTGGATCTGACCAGAGGTAAGCAGCGATTATTCTTCAAAATGGATCAGGGCACTTCTTTGCTGCGAACACTAGCCCCCATTGAGTGAAACTCGAGGTGCTATCTGGTGACGTATTTTGGTTGCAGTTCTCATTTTGTTGCGTTTTCTTTCTGTTTTGGGTAAAAAAGATAAATGAAAACATCGCCGACGAATCATAATAACACAGGCGGTAGCAAGCTAACTAACGAGCTGAGTTAGCTGCCTCAGCTAACCAGCCATGTCGACGCGCTGTAGTTTTGATGGTTGCGAGTGGGAAACAGAGCCTGTTATTGAGCCAGGCAGCTCATGCACCGGTCATCGCCGGCTGCATGAGGAGAAACTGGGGCTCGCTGGGTGGTTCTCCTGATCCACAGCTGATGAGCCGGGTCAGACCCACTGCTCCTGCATCAACACACTGCCAGTCTGCACACCGGTTTGTTTACACCGTCCTGATTCTCACTGAACACATCCAGAGGGATTTTATTTATGCAACCATGTCAGCAAGAAGAACTGCTGATACAAGTAATTGGGACCAGGGGGCGTTTAACATCTGATTAATGCCATTTTTATTAGCTTTTATTCTTAGGAGCAATCACAAAGAGGCGGTGTTATCAGATAATACAACCATTGGATTGTATAGCACTTCTAGCAAATAGTACAATTTGCTCTCAGTGTTTCTGGTAAGGATCAAAGTAAAAGTGTGACTAAATTATTTTTAGTACAACAAACAGAACTAGCAAATAAGCAACAATAAAACACATGTATAAATAAGACTAGGAGACAGTAGTATATGCAACAGACGACAAGTTTGAACCTGTATGTTACTATTCACAGATTTGTCTTATGTCTTAAGAGCTTCAAAACTCTAATATCAGGTTTTCTATTGCTGTAGACAAACTATTGTAAATTTGAGAACCTCTAAATAATAAAAAACGATTTGTAGTTTATAAACTGTACCTTTTTTATTTTTAACATCATTTTGTTTTACATTTCTAAAGCAAGGGACAGAATCAGCATGTGTTCGTAACTGAACAGCCTTTACAGACAAACAGCGATTACAAACATCTAGATGTGTATGACTAGAAGGTAAAAAAACCAGACAGGTTAATGATGAAAATGTTTAATGAGCATCTAAATCAAACGGATACAACAGTGTCACGTCTCACTAAAAGTTTGTTCTAGATGTTTACTTGTTTATTTAACTTCAAATAGCAAAATATCGTTTTTAATTTTTGCACAATTTTTATAAATTAAGAAAGAATGGATCTACTTTTTGCAAAGCCCTTAAACCTGTAAAGCTACTTCAATCTCATTTGTGATTAAAATATCACATTCATCACTGTGACAGATCACAATCGTTAAACGTCATTAATCGTTCTTGCAAATATAGTGCTCTGTTTTAAAACCACTTTCTATCAGTAGCATTTAAAACTTTGATCAACACATAGGATTTGGAGGAACCTGAAAACAAAATATACATTTTGCATTTAGCTGTCTGGATCTTGTTTTGACTGTAAACTCTAATTTAGTCCAGCCCGCTGAGCCCACTTCCTTCCTGTAATGAATCTTCTACAAGTCCTTACCTAATATAATGATGCGACTGGAGACTTTCTTTAGTTACGTTTACATTTTCTTTTCACGTTTCTGCAGAACCATCAGAAAACTTCCGTGAAATCCTCCAAAATGTGGCCAAACCTCATGGAGTCAGTAACATGCGAAAACTGGGCCACCTGAACAACTTTATAAAGGTAAGTGACAGCTGTACATGCAGGTTTCTAAACAGGTGGATTCTGTTTAAACATCTGTAGCCTTATAAACCATGTTGACACTCACTTGTTGGGAATATCTTCCAGACCTGTAAAGATCAGTCTCTCTTGTCTTTGAATGTAACAAACTGTCAAATTCTGCTTTTTGTTTGAGCTGAATTCACATGTTGAATTAGTGCAGGTTGATCGGCTGCCTAATGTTTAAAACGTGAGAAAAGTGGCAACGAAAAGCAAACACTAAATTGATTTGGTATAAACCGTTTCCCCTCATCTCATCACTGTTCATTCTTAATATCAGTTTGGCGTAAAAACGATTTTTTTAAAGATTGTTTGGTTTCTCCTCCAGAATGTCAGAAAGACGTCTATGCTTCCTCAATCATGAGACCTGTGTGATGTAAATTTTGTCATTTGCAAGAGTTCATCAGAACCAGATGACCATGAGCAGGTCAAGATTTTGTGACTGAACAAAGTGTGCATGTTGAGAATTTCATGTCTAAAAATAAATTAGAAGATTTAAAAGGTGGCACCAAACACACAACAAAGAACAGTCAAACCTCAAGAAGAGGAAGAAAAGCCAGGATGGTTGGTTTTAAAAAATTCTTATGTGAGAAGGTTTGCTGTTATTTACAATTGATAATTTATCACTCACTGATTATAAAGACACAGAGACTTTTAGGAGTGGGAATCTTTTATTATCTCATGATTTGATTCTGGTTTTTGGAGCCACGATTGGATTCAAAATTAGGGATGCACGATTTATCGGCATTCATATTGGTATCGGTCCGATATGTAAACCTGGGCCGATATTAACGCCCGATATTGATTTCTCTCATTTTAGCTTTGTGTTTCTGTTGTTTGTGGCTGGTTGAGCGGCATCTGTTTGATCATGATAGTGATATTGATGCTGTGTAGCCAGGATTAACTGAAGTAGAGCCATGTCAGACGTCTGGTTGTTTATTTACATTATCAAAAAAAGACCCAAGTGTGTTTGTGCGTATATGTATAATATAATTTGTGTGTTTGTGTAATATCGGTAAATATTGGATATTAGCCATAACAGCAGTAATTATATCGGTGATCGATATCGGCTGAAAATATTCAAAATAGATTTTTTTTTTCTTTTCATCTTCATTTTGCAAACCTTGCACACAGTGGAGCTCATGTCAAACCCAGGCTCGTTCAGTTAAAAAACAAAATGAGCCCAAATCTTTTCAACAAAGGCGGGGCCGGTTGAATCTCTCTTTCCTCCATTTTTGTAGTTTCCTCTTTGATTTGGTGCTTTCTGCACATGCCTACGTTTCAGAAGCGACTGCGTGGTGACGTCAGGAAAATCAATTCTGAATCGTTGTAAAGGACAATCTTGATTCTGATGTGAATCAGTTGTTTTGGTGCTCCCCTAGAGACCTTGTAAAAACACTGGTGAGAAATCTTGACCTTTTTTTTTCGTCTTCTTCTTGCTTTTTTGTGATGCACAATTGACAAACCACTGCATTGTTGCCACCTAGTAGGTCGGAGCAATAAACTGTAGATCCCTGCTGCACTGCTGCTCATCCAAAAGTAGTTTGAATATGAGCGTGTGTGCAGCAATAAGATTCCCATGGTTTGGGCACAAAGACAAAGAAGCATGTTAAGGTTTTAAGTGCTGACTTCTTGACTGTCTCTCTTTGGGTGTTGCTGCCAGCAGGTCTAGCTGTTCCTGTCATTTTGTTACTGACAGTTAATATAACAGAAGCTGGAGGTGGGAAAACACTCCAGTCTAATGTGCATCAAGGGCACTTTTAATTAGAAAACTAAGATTATTTATTGTGTGGTGGTAATTATGAATCAGAGTCTACTGTTTAAAGATGACTGATTTCTCTTCTAGTTTTGTACTTTGATAGTAAATGTCTCTTGACTGTAGCATTAGTCAGAGAACATTGTTTTCAGGTAAGTCTAAAAATGTGTGATGTCACAGCCTTGTGGTGAATCAGTAACTTTTCCGGGGTGTTTTCTGTTGTCCATTCAAACCATACTGGAAGAGTTTAAAGGTTTCTTATTGTTATAAGAGGGAATAACTGAGTGTGGGAGGAGAAAACTAGCAGTTCCTTGTGTTTTCAGCAACACTGTGTTTTTCTTTTTGCCCAGCATCACCTCTCTGAGAAATGTCAAAGCTATTTACCCAACTGTGTAATTCACAAACCCCAGGCTCTTATTCCTGCGACTGCTCAGATATCTGCTGTAATCTGTCAGCTCATTGCCTTTCACTGCTTCTGAGTGTCTGCCTGCAGATGTAAACAGTTGTTTGTGGCTCTGTAGATGGTGACTGCCGTGCAGCTGATTGGAGCAGGCTGAGTGTGGTCCTGCAGTCTGTCCACCTCTTGTTTACAACCGACTCCAGGCTAATAGTCATGACGTGTGTGTACATCTGTTACAGCACTATCGCTTTGATTCCTTTTAAGGGTTCCAAGACCGTGGAGAGCGTCACATGCCCCTTACTCCTATCTCCCCTCGCCTCTGAGCTGCTGTGTAGGAATGGACTTGTTGATTGTTATGTTGCCTGGAGGAATCTGAGATAGAGGTGCATCCTCTGCTCCGAAGTCTTCATTGTTCCGTTCATACAGGGTGTTCCAGACCATGCTGTAGGTAGTTAACTCCTGTCAGCTGATTCTCACTGCTGTGTGGGTTCTTGCTAATGATGGAGGACGTGTTGTGATGAGAGGAGAAAAAAAACGCTGTCAGGCCTGGTGAGGTGTGGAGAGCATGAGCATCTGGACCAGTAGGTTTGAAAATGACCAAATGCTCAAATTATTAAAAACATTCTTTTATCACGTTCTGTTTTTTTATGTGTCCAAACCAAATGTCTGCACCAAGCACATATATTCACAAAGAACAAATGTTGAAGGTGACGACAACCACACTCACTGCTGAACCTGTGAGTGTGTCGCTGGCCCGCCGCTGTCACTTTAGAAGTTACAGCCTCCATCCACTGCACTGGCATTACCCACATCACCCATTTTAACCAGCAAGTCGGAGATTTAAAACACACTGCTTCGCTTTAACAGTCACATTATTGTATTTCCATAAACATTTTTTATCATTTTATTCTCCCAATTCAAAGTTGTACAAAATGATAAATGAATAAGAATCTAAAATTTTAGAAAGTATCGAGATGGTTTTTGCTCTTTGTGCTAAAGTTCTTAGCAATTATTGATTTACATGGAATGTTGTGAACTATGTGTTCTGGTTCTGGACAAACAACAACACAGACAGGCATAAATAATCACAACCTGCTGAAGGCTGTCTTCCTGTTATTTGGCAGCCATTAATATAATGATTGCTTTAATTATAACACACAGTGCAATTTCATGAAAACATTATGCAGCCTAGGTAATTCCAAGGCTTTTTATTTGCAGACATTTCAAGACAGATAATTTTACTTAGAAGTTGTATAAAAACCCGAGTTAAGTTAAAATTGATTTATCATCTTTTTGTTGTTACAGCTGCTTTGCAGCATTGGACACCGCGAGGAGAATTTTGGGTTTACATATGAAGAAATCATCATTTGGTAATCAGTCTTATCTTTTATTCAACACCTGCTTCATACATTTTCTGTAGTTTCCTTGTTTATGTTGCTTTCCTGTCCATGTAGTTTACAAGTATTAATTTCTTTAATCTCCAGTTTGCGATTAGCTCTACTAAATGAGGCCAAGGAAGTGCGAGCCGCAGGTTTGAGGGCGCTCCGCTACCTGATCAGAGACACCACCGTGCTGCAGAAGGTCCTCAAACTGCAGGTGGATTATTTGATAGCAAGGTAAGATTCTGCTTCATTCAGAATGAAACGTGGTGTTTAGTTGACTTCATGCTGTGGTGTTTTCCTTTTGCAAGACAAGTCAGTTTATTAAAAATGTTCTAGCTGGTATGCAGTGTAATGTTTGTGTTTTCTTCAGCCAGTTTGTTCAGTATAACGTCTGGCTTTGATTATAAAAAGGAGATGAGTAATTGTGTCATTGCGTTGTTCTTAGATGCATTGACATCCAGCAAAGTAACGAGGGGGAGAGGACTCAGGCTTTGCGACTGGTTCGAAAGGTAAGATATTCTGTTTTTCTTCTTGCTGTAGAGTCGGTGTCATGTTGATGGAGGAATTTACCCTCAGCGCTCAGCCTGCTGCCAGCACAGTGTGATCAGAACAGTCCTTTGGGTCAGCAGTAGTGTCAGCGTGAATGCTGAAGAGTTTGCAGGCGAGGTTATTTATAGCTCATTCTGTAGTTTACTGTAAACCACACACACACACACACACACACACACACACACGCACGCACGCACGCACGCACGCGCACGCTGTGCTTTAGAGCATGGCCTATTACACAGCCAGTAACATGACCACTTTTTCTCATGTTATAACAATTTTTTGTGACTTCCTTGTTTTGCAGGGTTTAAACTTGTGTTAAATCCGATTACATAAAACAAAACAAAAACAGATTTTGTCAATCTGTTGTGAATAATGCATTTGATTTGTTTTCAGACTTTGTTTTATGCACAGTTCACGCTGCGGTGTTTGCTCGACAGCAGGGCCTGTGATGTGCTGTCTGTGTTCTCGAGGAGTCACCAGCTTCCTCTGTGATTGTGGTTTTCTGAGTGTGCAAACTGTTCTGACAACATACGCTCAATGATCCAACTCCTGTACAGAAGCTAGCAGCCAAAATGCAACAGCAAAAAAAATAAATAAATAAAAGATCGGGAGTGCAATCAAAAGAAGGACATATTTTTGCATTTATATAATGCAGGGACAAAAAGGAAACAAAAATTGTGTTGAATTCCTAGTGAGAGATCAATTAAACCTATAACATTTTCAGCAGACTCTTAATAAATGCATTTTGAAAAGTTGCACACGTGGACGCAGAAACTATGTTGAAGTTTTAAGAGGTCTTTGTTATCGCTGACAAAGCTGCATTTATTCAGTGCTATCTGACTATTTTTTGATATTTTACTCTATAAAATATTTTAATATATAATTTATCTATAAAAGCAGTAACCATATTTTTTCATGCATTTATCTGCATTTTTTTTAGCTTTTGATGAAAAATATTAAAATTGTAATATGTCAGGAACAGTTCTTTGTTTGAGGTTGCATTTGATTAGCTTGGTGAGAACATCATCCTGATAAATAAAGTGTAGAGTTAAAAGAGCGAACACCGTATGACTAAAACCCGATGGGTTTGATTTTTTTTTTACCTGCCAACATGAAAGGTGGGCAAAAGTTGCTTTTGACCCTAATGGATTACTTGAGCTCTATTTAAAACATTTCCATGTAAAGTGGTGGGTCATATGTGTTTTTTCAAGGAATGCTAATTTTTAATAATAATATTCAAAGTCTGAATTGACCGAAGAGGAGTGAAGTGTACTTTTTTAAATGTACTTTTCTGGATTTCTAAAAGTGAAAATACAAGTTTTTGCTGCGTTTTTGTTTTTTCAGACCCATTTAATGATTTAATTTTATCATTTCACCCCTGTAGATTATCACCGTCAATGCAACACTGTTCCCCACCACTGTCGCAAATTCTCTCATTGCTGTCGGAACGGATGGGCTGCAGGAAAGAGACCGCATGGTCCGAGCTGCCATCGCCATCGTATGTGAGCTAGGTGAGCACTTCTGCAGCACACAGCACTGATGTGAAGCATCAACAACTCTGCACAGTTACATTATGAAACCTCTTTGAGATTTGAATAGACAAACAAAAAACTGATGTAATAAATATTCTTTGCATGGCATCCTGCTGTATGGATGATTGTGTGTTCAGATGGTTGAATAATGTACATATTCATAGTCAGGCTGGGTAGATTAGCACTGATATTTTTTACGATTAGGGTAGTGCCTCCTCATGATGTCCTTTCATGATGATCCATGCAGGGTCTATGGTTGCATGACCTGGGGGCACTTGTGCTTGTGAACAGGTGTTCTGAACTGTAATTTCCCCTTGGAATCAATAAAGTATCTTTCATTAATGTGTGTGTGTGTGTGTGTGTGTGTGTGTGTGT